GCTCAAGTTCCAGAATTTACACAATCTGTGATTGCAAGTTGTCTTGGGGTTCCTGAAAATAACATTCGTGTCCTTACAAGGCGGGTTGGAGGCGGTTTTGGAGGAAAGGCAATAAAAGCTATGCCTGTGAGTTTTTTATTCGGATTAAATTTCCCTTTCGTAAAGCATTTGTGCTCTGAATGTATGTTTCAAGTAATTTATATCTTTCTTCTTTGACCACCCCAGATGTATGGGGGTAATTTTATTCTGTAAGCTCTCTGATACATATTTGATGGCCGATCAGAATATACTGACCTAAACTTGCTCATTGCATGACTGTACATAAATATAATATACTACTGAATGAGAGATAGGAAAAATCATAAGATACCTAAATATGATGTCTTGCATCATCAGTAGCTGGATATATATTATATGCTGAAAATCACTTTGAAAGGCTCAGTTATTATAAATCCAATTCTGAAAAAGCAGAAAACCTGGCCTTTCAATTAAGAAATATATGTAGATTACTTATAGTTTTCCACCTCCACCTTTTTTTAATTAATAACACAATATTGAACATCTTATAGGTTGCATCAGCTTGTGCATTAGCAGCATACAAGCTTCGACGTCCTGTGAGGATGTATCTCAATCGCAAGACTGATATGATAATGACTGCAGGAAGACATCCAATGAAAATCACTTACAGTGTGGGATTCAAATTGAATGGAAAGATCACAGCTTTACATCTTGAGATTTTGGTTAATGCTGATATATCAGAAGATATTAGCCCAATAATGCCTGCAAAGATAGTGAATGGACTTAAAAAGTATGATTGGGGTGCTTTATCACTCGATATTAAATTATGCAAGACAAATCATACAAGCAAATCGGCAATGCGAGCTCCTGGTGAAGTTCAAGGAACATTTATAGCTGAAGCCGTGATTGAACATGTAGCTTCTGCCCTTTCGATAGATGTTGATGTTGTTAGAGACCAAAACTTCCACACCTTCGATAGCTTAACTTTGTTCTGTCAGGCTGCTGCTGGAGAGCCGGGTGAATATACTTTACGTTCAATTTGGGATAAGATAGCTTCATCTTCAGGCTTTAACCATAGAAAAGAGATGGTTAAGCAGTTTAACAAGACTAATATCTGGCGTAAAAAGGGAATTTCCAGGTTACCCGCTGTGCATGGTGTTTCACTGAGACCAACCCCTGGTAAAGTCAGCATACTCCGGGATGGGTCAATTGCAGTGGAAGTAGGAGGGATTGAGCTTGGTCAAGGTCTATGGACCAAAGTAAAACAGATGGCAGCATTTGGTCTGAGTATGATCAACTGTACTGGAAGTGATGAACTTTTGGATAAGGTACGAGTAATACAAGCAGATACATTGAGCATGGTACAAGGAGGGTTTACTGCAGGAAGTACTACTTCAGAGTCTAGCTGTGAAGCTGTAAGAATCTGCTGCAATACTTTGGTTGAAAGATTAACCCCTCTCAAGGAGAGTCTACAGGAAAAAATGGGCTCTATTAACTGGGAGACCCTTATTTTCCAGGTAAGTACTTGTTCAAGATCCAATCCCCAATGATATCTTCAGGCGCACAAACTATTCTTTTTCATTCTGGCTGACTAAGCTATAAGTAGGAATTTTCATTACTTTAAGGCCATATGATTTTCCAGCAAAAGTGTGTTAATCTATCTGCTTGTTTCTTTGCTGTATACTGTCAGCGCAAAATGAAATTGAAGTTTCTTTGATGTACTGCAATTATTATTACTTCTTAATACTTACTATGGAGTAAATAAGTTTGTCACACTAATCAGATAATGAGCAACATGGATTCACCAACCAAGCATAAAATGTGAAGTCAATTTATATATCTGATGTAGAAAGTGTTGAATAACAATTTTATTTGCAGGCAGGCATACAAGCAGTGAATTTGTCGGCTAGCACCCTTTACAAACCCGATTTGACTTCCATGCAATATCTGAATTACGGAGCTGTTGTTAGTGAGGTGAAACTTGTTAAATTAGCCATGTTTAAGTCTCCCCTTTATTGAAAGCATTTTTTGTATTAATTGAGTAATTGTTATACAATGGCCCTTGTCAAGCAAGCGCTATGCTGTCTGGAAAGAAGTAATAAAGTCCAGAATTACCTGATCCTTTTTTCCGAGGACTATTTCTCATAATAGTACTTTCCTTCTACAGGTAGAAGTGAATCTCCTCACGGGAGAAACTACTATTTTGCGGTCAGACATCATATATGACTGTGGAAAGAGTTTAAATCCTGCTGTTGATTTGGGACAGGTTGATTTTTATTAGCATCCTTACAGTATTACTTACTTCGTATAATATAATGCTTAAGATACATTTTTAATTCAAGTGTAAAATTTAGCCTTCGTTCCGTTGACAGTACTGCTTAAATATAATGCTTATGAACTAATTTATTTTAAAACCTATTCTTAAGGTGAGAAGAATAAACCTTGTGCACTGGTACATTATTTTTTCTTAATGATGCCGGGGTGAATTTTTTTATATTTTGGATTGGTTGTGAACTTACTTGACTCCCCTTAGTTGATAGTTAAAACATCCAATTTGTGGCATTTTTTACAGATAGAGGGGGCTTTTGTTCAAGGTATCGGCTTTTTCATGCTAGAAGAGTACCTATCTGATCCTGATGGTTTGGTGATTTCTGATAGCACATGGACATATAAGATCCCAACAATTGATACCGTACCAAAACAATTAAATGTTGAAATTATGAACAGTGGACATCATCAGAATCGCGTTCTATCATCTAAAGGTATAATTATACAACAGTGTGCCTTCTGTACTTTGATCGCGTAAGAAAAAATGTCACCTTACTTCTGTTTGGTTTGCTTGCAGCATCTGGAGAGCCACCATTGCTGCTAGCAGCATCAGTTCATTGTGCAACAAGAGCAGCCATACAAGAAGCAAGGAGGCAGCTTGCTTCTTGGAGTGGCCGTGTCGATGATTCCTTATTCCAATTACCTGTCCCTGCCACCATGCCTGTTGTCAAGGAGCTCTGCGGCCTTGACATTGTTGAGAGGTACCTGAGTAGTTCACCTGCTAACAAAGTGACTGATAAGCAATAGCCTTTGTGCAGGTTTGCACCCCGAACCTTCAGTTATGAAATATCTGTAACTGTAAGATAAAGCCATGTCTATAACTACATCCATTATGTTACACATCAAATTCTACTACGTGTACACTACCAATTTGATCATAACTTGAGATGCAAATAAAGGAAGGCGTCTATGGTGTTTCCCGAGAGGCCAAGAAGGTGGAATACATCTAAAATTGAAGGATAAGAGAACGTGTAGCTGAGGTTGATTGATCAGCAGCACACTACTAATAAAGCTTGCAATTGTAATGCACAAAAAATGTGTAGTTTGAGCCTTTGAGGTTATTTATGTTGTTTAAGGGTATCTCAACATTTTGTTAGTTTCTGAATTCTGATTATGATACTTGTATACAGGAAATCACTTTCGGGCTTGTTTTGCCTTTTTCTGTTTCACATCACATTCAGGCTTGTTTTGCCTTTTTCTGTTTCACATTACAACAGAATTAGCTCAAATCTCAATACATGCAAGTAATTGGTCTTTTTGTCTTCTCATCTTCTTAGATAAGCTGAAGGCCACCAAGCGTTACTGGATCTGGTTGTGTTCCATCCGAGAGTTATCCCTACATCATGTATCAGTGTATCACATGTCATACATCCTCTATTTATAGAGAAATGTCGAGTGTTATGTCATACATGATACATCTTCTATTTATAGTGAACGGCGTGAAATATGTCGGTGAAAAACTTTCACCATAGGACCATTCAACCAAAAGATGCCTTCTGATTGATGAGATATATTGCATTATAGTAAGTATAAAGTATATATCAATTGACATGTAATCTTGTCATGCATTCATTATTTATACAATGTGTCAAATTGTTAGTCTACTTTGACACATATGGTTAAACCTTAGTCACCTCATATCCATACACTCACTTATTTTTGTGAAGTTTTTCCAAACTTTTAAAATTAAGATTTACACTCACGCACTCACCTTTTCCTGTCCTTTTGTTAATGTAGCCAATCTAATGTAGCCAATCAAATACAAAGTACTCCATACTTTTTGTATATGTCTTTTTTTTTTTTTTTTTCAGAAAGCATAAAGTGTTATACATCGATCACGAATAATTTCACTTCTTCTAATGCTCTATTATTTTAATCACACTTATTTTAGGTTTAATAAGTTCAAATAAAATAAAATAAAGATCAAGTCAAGATTAGTTTAGATGAGATGATATAAGTATACAAGGACTATTAATTTTAATAAGATTAATATTAAGGCTGTTAATCTTGTTAAAAAAATTAATTTGATAAGATCTTTAATATTAGGAAAATATATTATTATTCATTTAGTAAATCGTATCATTGTAATTAAGTTTTTATGGAATATATCCTAGTTTCCTAATTGTCTTGATCGACTAGGATAAGATTTTTTTTTTTTTTTTTTTTGTGAATAATTTGACTAGGATAAGATAAGATAACTAATTTGATGACTATTCCATAAAATAATATAAATGAAATTCAGGTAAATAAAATACGAACTAAAACATCTAGACGCAAATTAATCCTTGAACCGTGGTCCATTGTCCATGGAAGCCTTTACGTGTAGAGAAGGTTCTTATTATTCATTTATAATTTCATAAATTGCACAAAAAAACTTTGGAATGCGACCGTTCATGCACAAGCACAACGGTAACATATTGGTACACCTTGATTTAAATCTTAGGTTTATTATTTTTGTACTACTGTCCTTTTTTTAACATGAGACAACGTTCCAAATCTAAAATACACCCCCAATAAAAGGATTAAAGGATAATATTTAAAGTACAAATTTACAACTAAGCTAATTTATATTTATTTTTTAGATAATTTTTTTAAAAATAAAAATATCCAATTTTAGAAAAAAATTGAAGGCAGTTTTTCCTTATAAAAAGCAGCTGATAGTCGGCCAATTTTCCCACCAACCCCTGTTTCTCTCTCCCACCTCCCCTCAATCAGCATTGCAAATTTTTCTTCCTATTTTTTTTAATCTTCTTATTTATATATTTCAACAATTTTCTGGGAAATACCCAAAAAATCAAATAAATGTAAGTCCTTGAGCAAATTTACTCTGTTTTTATCAATTTTTTCTTGTAAAGCTCAAATCTTTTTTTATCTAATCACCCATAAATTGCTCAATTTGTTCAAGATTTTAGCTTTATCTGTTCTACATTATTATCACTAATTTGTTTGGGGTTTTGTTTTTATTTCAGATATTATTGGAGGAAAAAAAATGGGAAAAATGTTGATACCCCAAGTGGGAATTCTGGTATTATTGATGATGGTAAGTTTAGGAGAAGCAGAATACATGAAATATAAAGACCCAAAAGTTCCAGTTAATAAAAGGGTCAGAGATCTTTTGTCTCGGATGACATTGGATGAAAAGATTGGTCAAATGACCCAAATTGAACGCAAAGTTGCTTCTGCTGATGTTATGAAGAACTATTTCATTGGTATAAACACTAAAACTTTATCTTACAATTAATGTCGATTAGTTTAGCTGGTTAAAGTCTCGTGTCCTTTATACATAATATTGCTCACATTATTCTTTGTAATAGACAATAGTGATGATTGTCGATTAGTTTAGTTGGTTAAAATTTTGTGGGAATAGTCCTGGGATCGAATCCTATCATAATATTTTTTTTATTTTTTATTTTGGGTGAATAGGTAGTGTGTTGAGTGGAGGAGGCAGTGTGCCAGCACCAAAAGCATCTTCAGAAGTGTGGGTGAACATGGTGAATGAATTCCAGAAGGGTGCCATGGCTACGCGCCTCGGCATACCGATGATTTATGGTATTGATGCTGTTCATGGCAACAACAATGCCTACAATGCCACCATTTTTCCTCACAATGTGGGTCTTGGTGTCACAAGGCAAGTACTATATATTGCTCCTTACAATTCCTATTTATTGCTTGTGCTGTGCCTGTTATTTATATATGTGATTATAAATAACCAACTAGTAATATGCAAATTTGTAAAATACTTTTTACCAAAATTTTAATTTTCTAGCAAAAACAAGTTCTAATTGATGAATACAATTTTGATCAAATTAGGCCTTACATTTTGTAAGATCAAATTAAATAGTCAAATGTGGCTTATTATACTTGTGATAAGTACTAGTTTAAATTCTTGATTAGGATTTTAATATAATGTGCTAGAGAAAATTTGTGATTAAAATTTTATTGTAATTGTAAATTTGTGATTGCCCTTCATCAGAGATCCTGAACTTGTTAAGAAGATTGGAGCAGCCACTGCACTAGAAGTTAGAGCAGCCGGGATCCCCTATGCTTTCGCCCCGTGTATCGCGGTGTGTAGGGATCCGAGATGGGGACGATGCTACGAGAGCTACAGCGAAGACCATACCATCGTACAAAAGATGACTGAAATCATTCCAGGTTTACAAGGAGATATTCCTGCCAACTATCCTAAGGATTTCCCTTATGTTAGCAAAGGAAAGTAAGTATTCTTTACCATTGATAGCTCTTTCCTTGGGCCTTTTCAGTTTTAACAAGGATAAGTGTCCATGAATTTAAGTAATCATTGAGGTTAAAAGTACGATTTCATATCATAATATGTAAGTTTGAAAGGACCTTTCCTTAAAATAAGCGTGATTTATGACGTTTGATGACGCGTTTATCCTTTGATTAATAGATATAACAAGCAGGATGGTGTAATTAACACGTGATTAGGTGGTGGAATTAAAAAGTAATAGCATAATGCATGATTGCATGTCTGGTATGATGGTAGTCTATTTTGGTTACATGTAACGTGTGAACAACTAATTATTAGTTTGAAGCACGTTGTAGTACTTGGTCTTCTTACTGAATCACTTGTCATATCACTCATATTGTTTATTCTAAAAAAGTTGTGAATATTTGATATCACATATTCACATAAACAGGTTTACTTAATCACTGAAATTAAAGCTGTGCAAATCTGGAACTTAATTATGCTCGATCGATGTTGGTTCGTTGTAATTTGATATTGTTATTGACTAAACGTATATTGAGATCATAACATTTGCTTTAACTTTTGGATTAGGAACATTTAGGTCATAATGTCCTGACTTACTTAACAATGTCCTTAAGTCATAAAAATTGTTACACTTTGCCCAAAATGTTCACGCTTTTAATCCAAGTGTTGCAATTTCTTTTGAAACGGAGGGAGTAAAAAACTAAAAGGGTAGTGGGTTTTGCCAAGCATGTTGTGGATGGTTTCTGATTAAGTTTTTGCTAATATTGCATGCGTCTCCCTGTGTGATCTATTGGCATTTATGGATGGTTGTTTGTTACTTTTGTTAGGACTAAGGTAGCGGGTTGTGCCAAGCATTTTGTGGGTGACGGTGGCACGACAAAAGGAATCAATGAAAACAACACAGTGATCTCTTACAAGGGACTTCTTGACATTCACATGCCAGCATACCTTAACTCCATTAGGCACGGTGTTGCAACCGTTATGGTGTCGTACTCTAGCTGGAACGGCGTTAAGATGCATGCTAATCGCAAACTTGTCACCGGTATCCTCAAGAAAAAACTCAAGTTCAAGGTAAACAAAAACAGTTTCATGATCAAACATTATTTAGCCAAAATTTGAGAGTTTGGAAAACAATGTGCTGAATTTTTGTCAATTTTTCAATAGGGATTTGTGATATCAGATTGGGAAGGAATTGACAGGATCACTACTCCTCCTCATGCCAACTATACTTACTCCGTCCAAGCTGGAGTTCAAGCCGGGATTGATATGGTCAGTATGAGTTTTGATTTAAAAAGCTCTGCGAGTCTGAAGTCACTAGCTGTTGTTCTGATGTAATGAAAAATTGTAATGCAGGTGATGGTTCCAAATAACTACACAGAGTTTATCGACGATCTCAAGTCACTGGTGAACAAGAAAGTAATCTCCATGAAGAGGATTGATGATGCTGTCAGGAGGATCCTAAGGGTGAAATTTATCATGGGATTGTTTGAAAACCCAATGGCAGACCTCAGCCTTGCCAATGAAGTTGGCAGTCAGGTTTCTACTTTTCCAGTTCTGATTTTTCCTGTGTTATATATCTTGATACTATCTATTTTTCTGTACTGATAATTTTACTGCTCTCGAGCAGAAGCACAGGGATTTGGCACGAGAAGCAGTGAGAAAGACCCTTGTTCTTTTGAAGAACGGTAAATCTGCTCACAAGCCGTTACTTCCACTTCCTAAAAAGGCACCAAAGATACTTGTTGCCGGAACCCATGCTGATAACTTGGGCTACCAATGTGGTGGATGGACAATCGAATGGCAAGGTGCTAGTGGCAATGACCTTACCAGAGGTATACATCAAACGCAAACTAACTTCAAAAACAACTAAAATTTCAGCTCTCACTTGTCAAATCTTGTTTTTAGAATTCTTAATAGTTTTCCACTCTATATTGTTATAAATAGGTACAACAATATTGGCTTCTGTGAAGAGCGCTGTTGATCCTTCTACCCAAGTAGTTTTCAATGAAAACCCAGACGCAAACTTTGTCAAGTCAGGTGGATTCTCGTATGCCATTATAGTTGTAGGAGAGCCACCCTATGCCGAAACAAATGGTGACAGCCTGAACTTGACAATTCCTGAGCCAGGGCCTAGCACAATAAAGAATGTTTGTGGAAGTATCAAATGTGTGGTGGTTGTCATCTCAGGCAGGCCTGTTGTTATTAAACCTTACTTGGAAACTATTGATGCCCTCGTTGCTGCGTGGTTGCCAGGAACTGAAGGGCAGGGTGTTACTGATGTGCTCTTTGGTGACTTTGGATTCACTGGCAAGCTTGCGCGAACATGGTTCAAGTCAGTTGATCAGTTGCCCATGAATGTGGGTGACCGACATTACGACCCACTGTTTCCATTTGGTTTCGGGCTTACTACGAAAGCTACCAAAGGATACTAAAATTTTAATATGTAATTAGTAGTGGTAGTTGCATTCATTTGACTTCTTAGTGCGAAAAAAAAACCCATATTCATGGTTGGGCATACAACTGATACAAGTGATCAGTCGGAATTCTTGTAATCATGATATTATTGAATTATTAATTTTATCAAAATTATTAATTCATTTATGTTACAGTCTTAATACACACTCTATACATTAATACTCTTTTGAATTGCTCGTTATCCAATAGATGTTCTCATTTGATCGCGCAGGTGTTAAATCTCAAGTACAGATTTTTTTAGTAAGGCTTTAGGGCAAATTGTATTTTCAAACAAAATGAAAAAAATAAAAAAAATAATAAAAAAAATAATGAATTTAGAAAGTAACACTATCTTACAGCTATACTCTAAAAGTCCGCCAGTTTGCCAAGTCCATCTTCAAGTCCCGCAACCTCGAGTTCTAGCGAAGCTTTTGATATTTCAAGTTGAGAAATCGAACTTATTACACCACAATAAATCCAATAATTATTGTCTGATCTTAAGAGTTACCAAGATTTAGTTATTTGTGCGTGACATGAAATAAGATCATTATCGGGAGGGAAAAAACAGCTGTTTGGACCATTAATTTTGACGAGATGATGAGGATGTTAGCAAAATAAAAATATATTGGTTCCAAAATGACCAAATAACAGAGTTGATCAACAAGAATATAAATAAATAAAACTACGTACGAGTATCATTGTGAATTTGTGCGTATGTGCAACACTATATACTGCCAATACTTAAAAAAGTAATCAGAATGTCCGTTATCCATCCTACTACCATATCTATGTACAACATAGACCTCTGATCTAAACTAATGTACAGGCTCAGCAATAGATGGGTCAGTTCAGGTTGTCCACCATATGATCATCTCACAACAGGCGAATCCAGCACAATTGATCCCTAAATTAAAGCAAAGCAAGCAGCATACAATTTCAGAGCAAAAGATTGTGAAGCACCAAAGCTAACAAATAGGAGCAATCCAGAAGGTAAAGCTAACCTCACTGATCGGCATTGGTAGTCTGGTCTCGCTCAATGAACTGTAACGCTTCATCTTTAGAGACAACATTTACTCGACTGACACGTTTATGGTGTGTCACTCCATAAATCTTGTCAGCAACTTTCACAAGCTCTGGTCGAAAAGTAGTAGTAATGAATTGTGTATTTGCTTGGTCGGCCAACCTACGGATCATATCTAACAAATGAACAAGGATCCTCAGCTGATCAAAATTAAAATACAAAACCACAAATAAATTTGGGAAAATTATTGCAGATATATAGCTAGATAATGAAATTGACAATTTTTCCACAATTAGAAAGAAAACTATAAAGAAAAGTTCAGCATACTTCCAACAGCTGTTCTGTACTGAGGATCTAGTGCTGCATCTATTTCATCAAAAAGATAAAATGGGGCTGGATCACATCTCTGTATGGCAAAGATCAATGCCAATGCTACAACGGTTTTCTGACCACCAGATAATTGCTTCATAGACTGTGTCTCCCCTTGCCCAGTAAATGATACCTGTTATGTAAATCATCACGAAGAATAAATTCAGATCAATAATGGTTGAGCCGAGAAGAATTATTCAATTATTTCTATGAGTAAATAATATTATACAAAAATACTCTCATACAGACACAAGTGTCTTGATCGAATAAGAAACTCGAAGCTTTGAGTTGCTTCAGCAACAATATATACCTCATTTATATTACTCCATTTTGTTAAATGATGTACACTTTCAGCAAAATACCAGAAATAACTGAATGGATATCATCCATAACTTATCATGCCCTCAAACTATACCATTACTTCACACACATTCTCTTCACCCCATATTCTACTGCAGGTCAACTTACACAAAAACCTTGCATTATCTTTGCGAAATTTCCATGAAAACCTTTTCTCAAAGTGTAAAACCATGAACTATTTGGTAGGACAGTTTCCCTTTTGAGCTAATCTGACAGTCAAATTCAAATAACTTTTTCAATGGGTTAAATTAATGAATCCTTTGTTTGCAGATACAAATGTAAAAGACATTCCAGACAAAACAATAAATCATGTCTGTGGATAGAAAGATAACTCATGCAAAACAACCCCGCTATAGTATACTTGCCTTCACTTTCACTCCAATATATTTCTCTACTCTTCCCTCAGTATCTGCTGTATGGGGCCCATCTTCATCCATATCATCATCTCCATTGTCTCCATCCTGTTAAAACATTACAATGTTATAGGTTCAAGGCTTCAAGCTTGAAGTACTGAAGTAAAGTGAAAAAAACAGCAACTAAACAGCACAAACAAACAAGATCTACCTTCCCTCCTGGCTAAGTGATTCACACTGAAAGCACAGAGGTTGTATATAGGGATTGGAAGTGTCAGACCCAGCTGTTTGCCTAATCTAAGGGACTTCCACATGTATTGGCTAAATTTAAGTGCCATTAGCATAGACGTATCTTAAGGTTGAGCAGGAGTGGTTGAATAACTTGATTAAATAAAGTATGATTCACATAGCACCCCATCAACCATCCATCCAACAAAAACCTCATACATGCCAGCAGAATAAGTAGCACCAGCATTGCCCAGTAGCAGAGCTTGCCAATTTGCCAAACACCTTTCAAGGTTTATAAGAACTGGATGTCACTATTAGGCCAACTGTATGCTTTTGATCTCTATTTGTGTGAAGGAACAGACAACTGGTGTCTTTTCAATAAATTCAACAATAACTACCGGTCAATGACTACATAGTCACTAGTAATCACTCGGGAAATGGAATGGTCGGTTTTTATGCATTGAATAAAGTGTACGAGAGCCCGAGAAGATAAGGACTGAAGAATCACAAGGAATTGAATAGACTAATATTCACGATATAATATCATCAGTAAACAGCCTAAACCCTAAGAAGCTGGGTAAATTTATTAATTTTACTAACCTTTTTCTTCATCATAACCAAGAATCCGTGACCTCCTTGCACAAGTTCAGAGAATACCTCACGAAAGTTCCTAGCAACACCCTTGAAAGTACGCTCTATAGACTCATCTTTTCGTTGGTCCAGAACTTCTATTAATTCTTTAATTTTCTGCAGCAAAAGGTTTTTATTAATAGCGCGCACACGCACACATATTTTACATACATCAGAGTACATATAATGGAGAGAGAGAGAGAGAGAGAGCCAAACGAATGTGATAAAATCAGAAACAATTATGTCTCTTGAACATGTTTAAATAGTCAACAAGCTGAAAAGATAACAAATAGGAACATCAAGTATACAATACCTCATCACCTGCATCCAGCTCAGCTTGCCTTTTCTGGAGCTCTTCCCGTTGCTCTGTGAAATTTACATACTGATCCAAAGCTTTTTTGTTCACATGGCTAAACTGTTGAAGTTGTTCATTACACTTATGAAGCATCTTATGCAATTCTTTTGCACCTTTCCGCCTATACCTGTTAATACAAGCATATTATCAAAAAAGAATTCTTATGAAGAACAATTAAAATAAGTATGATCCGAGTAAGATCAGTTACATGACTTTGCTTTCAAATTTGAACAAAAAAAAAAAATTCTATGGAACATTTCCCACATCTTTTAACAAAAACCAGTCATGGCAAACCAGAGGCTTACCATCTCTCTCACAGCATTGGATTCCACAGAAACAAAAATTCCAAATTATGCAACTGCTTAGTTCCTCACCCAATCATCAGAATCCCCATAACTGAAATAAGGTTCCTAATTCCTAGTTGCACTTAAAGACATTTTTATAAACCATCTAAACTATCTTGCTACCAGACTTCAACATATACTGAAAATTAAAACACGCTTATCATCTCAGCTTGTCGCTATTTCACCCAATTTCAAAAGTAATACTTGTATTAAGCACATAAGCTCTGCATGCTAAATGTTGTTTATCTATCTAATACTCATGTAATTACAGGTAAGAGTGTAAGACATTCACTGAAATTGAAGGACCCTCATTGATGATAATTAAACATTGAAACTATCTGAATTGATCAGCATACATCAAACAGTTGTCAACTAGGCAAAAAAAAAAAAACTGCAGCTATACTATCAGATAGATATATTAATTTAGTGCAGAAATCACATTACGTGTCAAAAGCATCTGAAGACAACGGACCCAAGTCCCTGATTTTCTTTGAGTACTCTTCCTGCCTAGCAAGAAGCATATTCTTGTTACTTATTAACTTCTCCAGTTCTTCTGCTTCCTCCTGAAGCCTTTTCTCATAATCGACTCTTAATTTCTGCATTGACAGTGGTTAAATCAACAACAATAAATCAAAAGACATTAACTGCAGCATAAATGTGGGAAATTGATCATCACCTGCAATCTATCATCTTCAATTTTAATTTCCTTTAGTTTCTTCGTTATATTGTTCATTGACGCAGAAACTCCTGCACAACAGACATTAGAGGATTAGAAGAACCATTCAAGCGAATAAGGTAGGAAAAAACAGATCTGACTCAAGACTCGCTTTTTAGCTCCTCTGTTGCCTCATCCACTAAAGATTTGGCCTCATCCATTTCCTTCTGATTTGATTCGGCCTCAGCAGATAACATTTCATCATCTGCAGATGACATAATGTCAACCAACTCCTGTTGGCGACGCAACAGATTTGTGGAAAGATTTGTCTCAAGCTCCAATTTTTTTGTTTCAATCTGTAAATGGAAAAGAAAAACATGAAGAGATTGAAGACTATACACTATGTAACATATTCTTGACAAAAATATAGTTAAATCTTCAAATAACATTCGTGCCAACCTCTATAAGCTTTGACCTGCATTCCATTAGTTTCTCCTTCATTTCCTTGATCTCTGGGTTCAATCGAGTCAGAAGAACCCTCTCCTCTGGATTCAAATGATCAACAAGGTCTGTACCCATCTCAGCCTGTTTCTGGGCTACACTGGCATTAAGTTGCTCAATTTGTGTACGTACATTAGAAAGTAATTTTTCCTACAAAAAAGCAACAAGCTAGATGTAAAAATCAAATAAATCACATTTTAATTTGTAAACTCCATTTGGTGCATACCTTCTTTTCTAGAGCAGTAGATGTTGATCGCTTTTGCTTGTTAGCATCTGCAATATCCTGACGAAGCTGCTCCACTTCTGATCTATGATGAGCACGATCAGCATCTATTTTTTGCTGCTCTGTAATCTTCTCAGTAATTTTCTGATCTATATGTGATGATTGTTAAGACATAACAAATGATAGGCATATTGTCAAAGTCCTCAGTATCAAAATGTCTCCCTCTCTCTGTACAAACTCCAAGACTGGTATGGGATTAAACTTTTAAAATCCTCTTTACCCAACTTAAGCAAAAATTGTACTTACAAATAGATGGCTTTATGATTAACATCATAGCACCAACTAAGCCAAACAGTGGTATTAAAGGCATTGTTAAGGATGAGGTTAACAACATTAGGAGCACGAAGATTGACAAATTTGGTAACATTCCCAAGAAATCATGAATTTGAAATTCAAAATTATTTTAAGCAGTAAAATATATCTACATACCAGCACAAAAAATTTAACATACAATTTGGAATATCTATCACAGATTAAAAAAATTAATGAAGTGAACTTTACTTTATATATAAAAGAAATAAATAATAAGAAACAAAAAAAAAAAAGTGGTCTTACTTTAGGTGGCTTGGTGGTACTATATGTTAAGCCGGAAGCAACAAAAAAACCTTAAGCATAAAAATAAACCAAAAATCCTACCCGTTTCTTGAGAATTTTTTTTGTTTTTTCTAAACCATGTACACTCCTAATATTTGCAAAAAAAAAAAAAAAAAAAAAAAAAAAAAAAAAAAAAAAAAAGAGAGAGAGAGAGAGAGAGAGGGTTAGCATTTAAGTTTTGATGGTAAGGCCTTAGGAGAAGGATATCTTGAAGTTGGAGCCTTACTTCCTCTAGCTCTTTCTTCTTCATATTAATTACCCGTGTATTCTGCTTAATTATATTCATAAACTTCAATTTCGAGCGCCTATAATCATAGAATCCTCCCGTCATCCCACCTTTCTTGCTTACTTGGTCACCTGCTCCAGTACAAAATAAAATCAAAAAGGTAATCAACAGCAGCAATATCAATTAGCAAGAAAAGGGAAAATTTGGGGACCTTCCAGAGTAATGCAATCTAAACCATCAGTACGAGCAACTCTGGCAGCAACATCCAAATTTCGACAGACCACAGTTCTTCCAAATACCTTGCGCAAGTTAATACAGCTTCATAAGCTCAAAAATGTTACAGAATAAAGGAAATGAAATGAGACTGAAGACGAAAGCACATCTATACATAATACAGAAGTGACTTGGTGTTTTACGCACAAAAATAAAATTAAAAAAAAAAAAAACTCCCTCCGTCCCTAAATTAAAAGCCTCTTTCTCTTTATTATGTGAGTAATAAATGCTAGAAAGAGACTTTGTATTAAGGGATGGAGGGAGTAATAATTATGAAAAATAAAAAAAAACAACCCAAAGAGATAACCAACAGCTTTGGACATAGCCACAGAAAGAAGTATTTACAATAACTGTATCCCAGTTCCAAAGCTCTTAGAACTTGGAAAAAGGTAGCTAATATTAATAAGCCCAACATCATTTGCAATGTAAAGACATTTTGACAAGCACAATGACTTTCCACCCTGCCTTCATACAAAGTATTTGGTGTTGTAATTTGGGGACTAAAGCAAAAGGAGCCATCATGCTGCTAAGCAGATAAGAGATAACTCAAAATAAATCAAACACCCCTCTAATGCAGTAGTCTCGCTAGACTTTAGAAACGTCAGATTACTAAAATGGTCAATGGTGAAGGTATGAACATTTCATAGATAAAAATATACAAAATTTCAAACAACCAAAATAATCATATAAAGAAGAAAAGAAAAGGGATGCTCACCTGGGAAAATGCTTTAGTGTAGTTTTCTTGAAATTTTAATTTCTTCACCAAAGGTACTACATCGTCATTTTGTGGACAGGTGACATGTGGAGGCCTGACCTTGTTCAGAGGTATAAATGTCACTCGTCCACCCTTTGAGGCATTGAGATGCCTAATAATCTTAGTTGCAGTTTCATCTGTATCAACCACCACATGGAATAAGCTGCAAATAGCAATAACAATAACACATGAAAAAATTAGTCTCTGAGAGATTGGACATAGCTTTCCAAGGCTAAGTTTCATAATAGGAACAGCATATACCTGTTTCCAGCAGTAACTTCAACTGCAGTAAAGAACCTCTCATCACATTCCAACAACTCAATGAGTGACCCAAAGACACCCTCAATCCGGTACTGGTCGCAAATTCTCCTAACAGAAGTCAGTCCCCTCCTAATATCCTACAAAATAGAGGAGAGAAAATAAAGATCAAATAATGCACATTGCTGATACATGGGAAAGGAAGATGGAAAACTACTTTTTCCCTTTTATTATACTTGAATTATGTATGGCCATGCAGGGAAGTTAGTCTAAGCCAAGTTGATCATCAAACTATAGATTAAAGACTAAAAGAAGAGGTACCAACAAGCATAGATGTACCGCTAATCCACAAGTAACGAAGTAATCAGTAGTCACAAATCTACTCCAAACAGCACAACAAACTCATGGAATCCACTTTCGCTAGTCCTAATGTTAAAAAGAGTAATACTGTAGAACATTGCTAGTAAAAAATTTCATTTACACACAGAGTGTGGAGCCAGAGAAGCAGATTGCTGTTTGAAGTTCCAGATTACAAGAAACTTTTATCTAATGTATTTACGTGTTAACGGATATAAAAAGGCACACGCCATAATTTATAGGTCTACATAAAGGCAAAGCATAACAACCCAAAGTTCCATTATTCAAAAACCTAATTGACTGATCAAGCAGAAAGCTGGATCTCAGCAAGCACCTTCACTATAAGCATAAATCAAGTCTTCTTTTAGAATGCCTCTTTATGTCCTGAACTAAAGCTTTACCAGCACAAGCTCAGGAAAGTCAGACAATTAATCATTCCAAAAGATAATTTTGCTCAAACATTTGATCAAAAGAAAGAAGGTAAACACCAACACCAAGACATCACACTCCCACATCAGGTTCCATAGAGCATATAATAGTTGTCGTGCAACTCCAACACGAATACAATACCAAATGGATTGTTCAAAAGCACTTACACCAGGAGTGGCATGGTCAAGATTCTTTTCCGCCTTCACCAACTCGGACGTTAATTTTTCGATCTCAGACGACAGCTCATTTTCTCTTTCCCACAACAACCTGGCATGTAAAATATTTCAAATTAGACAGACAGTGCAACAATCCAGATAGACAAGAAAGGTGAAAATTAAAAATCGAACAAACAACCAAACAAAGAAGGAGACTTAAGGACAAGGGAACAGAACTCACTTTCGCTCATCTTGTAGCTTGTCTCTTTGCCCCTTGGATGTGATAAACCCATCGTTTGATTGATTAATGTTGCTTTCAAGTGCTGACAAATTAGCTTTTCGGGATTTAATAAAATCATCTATATCCCTGAGCTGAGCATTGAGGTTATCAAATTCATCCTGGAGCTTCTGTTCCTGTAGATACAGAAGCCAAGACAGCAGAAAGAATAAACTCTAAATTCAAAAGAAGCTGATGATAGAGCCAAAAAAAAAAGTAATTTCAGCACATCAAACATCTACAGCTCACAATGCAACAAAAAAAATTGAGCACACCATAAATCTCAAGACTAATCAAGACAAAGTAGCACGTTCTAGCAATGTAGTGCTTGTTAAGATACAAGGTAAAATCTCAAGGCTAATGAAGACAAAGTGGCACGTTCTAGCAATGTAGTGCTTTGTAAGAAACATTGAGAGTAGCAGTGAGGAACAAGGAATTATCTGCCCACTCCATCTCCTGTCTCAAACAACAGAGCAGCACAAAATCCAAATAATACTCGACTTCAACAATCAATATATGAGAAAATTAGTTATTGGATTGGACAGACGAAAGGACTACAGTACTACACTAAAACAAACAGATGCATACAATTGCCACTGCTTGCTACCAATCTGGAAATGAACCAAAAGTAAACCAAGTTCCAGACCCAGCATCCACTGGTACAAAGCTGCAAGACACCATTCTTTTTCAATCTTATTTTTTCCTCTCCACCAGTAGTCTAGTATTGCCATTCCTACAGTGTATCCCTATCCCCTATTCAATCCATTAGCATTACTCCCAATCTCCCATGGTTCTGGACAGATCAGAGAAACCGTGAAAGCTTGCTTGAAATTTTAGTGATGTACAAAGGCACACCAGTTCCATTTAACAGAAACTTCTTCTCATTAACAAGATTTATGTCAATTACTCCCTCTATCCCAAATTAGTTCGAACACTTACCACTGCAAATACTCCCTTGGTCCAAATTAGTTCAGAAACTTATCACAACAAAGAGCTATAAAAGATAACTTGTCATCGAACAATCTATTGTTATAATAGGAAAGTAAAGTGTATAAGAGGAGATGGGGATGCAATCAAGACAAAATCATTGTAAAGCAGAAAATACATTCAAGATTTTTTTATTTTTATTTTTTTTGAAAGAACGTTCAAGATTAGTATAAACAAAAGACATTAAGGAAAATTTTCCAAACCAGAGGTCATGCAATGGGATAGGTGACTGGGCCTTATAAATAATGAATAGCAATCATTGCAAGTACCAAGGATTTTCCAAATCACCCCATGCGTTAAATCTGAGCAGTACATTAAATAATGGATGGCTAAGATTACTCTATATTAATATTAGTTTTCTTTATAAAGCTAAATAGCATAAAATCGGCAATGTATTACCTGTAACTGGTTTGAAGAAAGAACTCGCTCAAGTTCATCTATTTCCTTTTGAAGCCACTGATCACGAGCTGCTTTACTAGAAAACTGAGTGGCCCGACCTTGTTTCTGATAAAGGATACTGAGCTTCTTTTCACGCTCCATTATTCTGCAAGTTACAAAAGGGAGAAAAGTATTGCAATCAGTTAAATTATAGTGCCTTTCAACCCCGGCATGAGAACCAAAAAGCAATCTCTATACTCAAGGAAAAGGCAGGCCATCAAATATTAGCAGGCACATGCCAGAAATACGCATATCCAAGGCTTTTTCCAATCATACCCTTTAGTCATCTCATTCTCCTGCATCTTTAAGGCATCATACGAAGGCTTAATTATTTCAATCTCATTAGTTGACTCAGAGATTTCCCGTTTCACAAACTCAAGCTGTTTGGCAGCATCATTCTACAACAACCCATAAAAAAAAAGGAAAGAAATATTTATCTATCTTCAATAAATTGCTGCTCCGTAGACAAAGAACTTAAATTTATAAACAATAATACAATAACCCTCTACAACCTTGACACGTGAACTTCTGGAAATCCTCTCTTTCAAGTCTCTGCAATCAAGCTCAAGTTGTGTCTTCCTTTTTATTGCTTCTGTACGACGACTCTCAACTGCCACTTTCTCCTTGCTCAACACTTGAAGCTCTTTGGAAAGCCTTTTCAAATCCTTGTCCAAGACCTTGCATTTTTCTTCAGACTCCAGAACAGCGTTGTACATTGTAGTTGACTTCTCGGAAACTTTGTCCCGCTCTTCTTCAACCTGAAAAGGAGCATACATTTAACAGACCCGGCAACAACCAAATTTTGAAATGAGAAACAACCAAACAATAATAGAAGGATTAGATGAGTAAAGGCTTTTGTATTCAAACCCATAAAAAAAAACCGTGTATTGATGACCATAATTCATCATCACACCCCAATAAATCATCAAACAGCTACATTGAAGTGAATTACTATCTCAGTTTTAACAGGATTATAAACTATCCATAACATTCACAACAACAAATTTCTCAAATATTAATTACATCCATTATGTGTTTACAGTGTTGATCAAATTACTATTGTGTATCCCTGTCATATATCTACTTCAGGCAAAATGCTGACCTTGGCTAACTTCTGTCGAGCATCTTGGAGTTCCTTATCATATATGGTGTACTCCAGGGATTTTCTCTGCCTGTCAAGCTGCTGATATTTTCTCAGATCCTCCTTCTCTTCATCCAGCTCCTTCAACCGCTCATCCAAGTATTTAACTACTTCAATAATCTGTTTTCGTTTATTACCTGGTAACCAGAGGAAAAATCTCAAAGAAATAGCAAAATGGACAAATCAAATTAAAAGAGACATGACGCATAAAAAAGCAATAGACTTCCTTGAGCCTAAACCTGAGATGAGAAACAAGGGTACATGCTTATGCAAATTACACACATATCATATATTGTAAAAAGAGCCACAATTTTGAATCACAGAAGATTTAAAAGCTACAATTTTGTTAGGTGCTTATAAATATTCTCCAGAGCTCAGGGTGCCCCAATTGCACAATTTACCGAGGTCCATGAAGATGATAATTTCTGCTTCTAGCACCTGAATGCCTCACGCACCACCTCATGTTATCTTTATCATACAATGGACAGTAATGCTAAAGGTAATTCATTTAGTTGTGACTTACCAGTTTCATGCATGATTTTCAAACTCTCACGCCGCCTCTCCTCATAAACTCGAGTACCTCCAATTTCCTTGAGCAGATCTAGTCGTTCTGCGTCCTTCATAAGTGTCAATGATGCAATCTACAAAACATCCCAGTTCAGAAAATAATATCAAGCCACTGAGAAGAGATAAAGTTTCTGGCATGTTTTAACCTACATATAAAAATATTAGCACAGACAAGCAAGTCGATAGTCACCTTTCCTTGCTGTACAACATAGTAAGGATTTGAGCGAGAAAATCCCGCACTTTCTAAAAGGTTCATGACCTCTGTCTTCCTATACAAAACAGTATAACATTTAATTCAACAAGGATAAATTTGAACAAAGGGCAATGAAACTGACGAAATATATAAGGAAATGAAATCAGGAGATACAGTAAATAGGATGTGTTCTCACGTGATATGTTTCCCATCCAGAAAGTATTCATCCTTTTTGAGCCCAATTGTGCGCCGCAAGCGGACTTCATCTTTATCAACCTGAAGAAGGGTAAAACAATGGTCAAATTTATGAACCAACACCCACCAATGAGCTAAAGTATACGACGTAATAGTTCATTTAATGTGTTCTTGGATGATGAATTTCAATCCACACCCCTGGCCAAGAAAAGTGCAGGAGCCAAGTGAGGAAGAGTTGAGAGATATGCAGATCATTTGAATGTAGGAAGTTGATGACAGAGATCAGCGAGCAGAAAAAATACCCTTATAGATGAGAGGATGGATAGGGGGAAACAGAAACAAGTGTAAAGAATATTTTACCGGAATTCGATTGTCAGTATTATCAAACACGATCTCCACAAATGCAGACAAAACTTGATTTCCTGCTCCTTCCTGTTAAAAGTTATCCACAAGTGAGAGAAACAACAGTAGTCAAGTTTTTTTACAAAAATTTGGGAAATTTAACATCATCCAAAGGTTCAGCATATCCATAATAATAACCTCAATTAGGCATCTCTTTAGAGAAAAGCTCCAAATACCCTCACAAAGAGACTAATATTGAATAAGTGGATAGGAAGCAATATCTATTCTTTTTTTTTTTTTAAGATTCCAATACACCCAAACAAATAAATATCCTACAATAGGCAAACAAAGAAAGAGATAGCATAGATGCCTTGGCAGTTAGTAATGCCAAGGCAGGGTTGATTATATTGGTCCAAAATATGGGTTTGGGTCTGAAATGGCCACACTGCTAGCAATACAGAGATGTTGCAAGAACGCCAAAAATTAGGAATTCATCAACCACATATATCAAAACTGAGAGCATTAATGTGAATATACACTGATCCAAAACGACATTGAAATATTCTATTAACACAATCTTTATTAAAGTTGCATATAAAAAGCTAAAAAATAGAAAGAGTAAACTTTCTTTAAGCATTTTTAACACCGATCTAAATGTGATTTCATTATAAAGATTCCTAAAAATACCATGTGAAGAAATATAATCAAACTTTATAGTTAACCCCTAGGGATGCATACATCAAAACCGAATGAATAACAGAAAAACTTACATGAAGTAACGCATGCCTGTCCTCGCTACGAAGATTTTGGAAAAGATCGCTGAGGACAAAACGGATTGCTACATAGAAGAAATTTTTTAAATGGAGAATCTAATATGCATATATAAAAACATATAAAGGTAGATAGATAGGTAAATAATAAATGCAAATAACCTACCATGAAAAAAGTTTGACTTTCCAGAACCATTAGCACCAACTGCATGCAGCAACAAACTCCAAATTAAAGACAAGAGGCATAGTTGCATACACCCACAATAGCAGATACATAATCAGTATTAACATGCAAGCATGTACATAACAAAACACCAGCAAATACTACATATTTCCACTGCCAAAATACCTACACTGAGACACACAATGAGCACAACATGCTGCTAAGCAAGTTTAACCAACAGCAACATTCCAACTAGTCATCCAATGATTGTATTTTCCACCAGAAAAAAGACTTCATATAAAACCACAATACATACAACTCTTACCCTACTCAAATAATTGCATTCCAAAAATGAGATCATAACCTCAAATGTCAAAATTCACAGCACAGATAGTATTCACTCAACTTTTATTTCACTCGAAGGATTATTTTCAAAAAAAAAAAAAAAAATTCACAGCCTCAAATGTCAAAAACTCAAAATGCATATCACTTCAAGCTTTAATTACTGATATATCGGCTAAACAAACATATGCCTTTTTCTCTGAGTCATAAGCTGAAAATTTTGTTGCAAAATACCCTATGTAGAGATAAAGAGCAGATTAGATTAGGAGAAAGGGGTACATGAGCAAAGCTCTAGCTAGAAGTAATAGTAATCACAATATTTGTATATGAGTGAGAAACTAAGAATGTAGTTATTGGAATAAATGCTTCTTTATAAACCCCCAACATCCCAATTAAAACAAAAATAATAAAATTCCTTGGACTTTCATATTTAATGGCTTGGGAAAAGAACCAAAAAAAAAAAAAAGAGCAGACTAATATATTCTCTTAGCAATGCAAATTTAGTAAACAAAAAAAAAAAGTGTTCAGAAGCATACATTATCTGGATATAATGATGCGTCATAAGCTCACCATATATAACACGAAAAGTCATTGTGTGTAATTTTTCGGTTATTTGTCTTAGTAACAGTCAAAGGCAAGCGCGTAATATAGTAACCAGATCCTGAGTATCACATCCAAATAAAAAAATACTTCAAATGATCCCAACCCGCAATCATAGTTCCATGATCACCCATTATGTTGGATCATCATTCCCCCACTATCTACATCTACATCACATTATTATATAAACAATGTTCCTGGATTTCGAGTTTTCTGACTAATTGAAAGATACAATATCTGTTTCCTTTTATGGCCCATATTTTCGGAAGGTGGATGTCACGAGCAGTACAATATAAGTAAATTCGCAGCAGGAGAATCAAAGAGAAAAACAAACACAGTGAAGATAATTAGGAAGAAAACCATACCTACACAATTAACCTTTGAACTAAATGCTTCAGTGGCCACTTGTTCTTTATAACTCTTAAAACCTTCAATAATAACCTGCACATAATATCGAGACGAATTGCAACAAAAACACAAACTAATTAGAATTACAATAAAAATAATCACCAAAACCACACTCAAGTATCCAATGTCTTCAATTAGGGTTTTAAACTAGTAAAAAAAACATAAAATTAGGAATTACCTGCTTTATATGCATGATTACAGCAGATACACTTTGCCGCAACCTCTGCAAATGAAATCAAATCGAAATCAAAACTTTCAGTAACTGCATCATAACTCAAAAATGAGCACTAAAATGATAAATGGAAGTAAGCAGAAGATGATTAAGTATAAATTAACCCTAAAATTGAAGAGAAAATCAGCGAAATTGAAGAATAGAAGTACGAATTTAAGTTCTAGGGTTTTGAAAAACTTACGAGTTGCAGCAATCAGTGAGAATTGATTGGGAGAAATTGAAGAGAGAGATGGAGTAACGAAGGCGGGAGAGTAGGAGAGAGAAAGAAGAAGCAAATTGCGTGAAAAATGAGTTGTGCGATGAAAGTTTTTGGGAATTTTTGGGTCGCCAAAATAAAATTGCAAATCTCAAATTTCCCGGGTTACTGAAGTTGGGTGTAAATTCCCCCTTTTAAATTTTTTAATTTTTTTTTTTATTTCTACCTAAAAAAAATATAGACAAATAAAATGGACAAATTTGTAAGGGGTTGTTAAACACCGCCCTCAAATTTCCTAGTAACGCCCACAAAATAAAACTAAATTTACAAACTTATCCTTATCTATAATCGAAAAGTACCATCTTCATTCTCCAATCACTTTCAACACTATCCATTTTCACTCCACTCCAAAAACTTTCAAAATTAAATCAAAAAATTCAGCAAAATTACCAAAAAAAATAAAATTGATGAAAATTAAATAATGTGAATGTGATTAATTAAATTTCTTACAAAAAATCAATTCAGCGAAAAAAAAAAAATCAAAGATCAAATTGTGAGAAAATGTGATTGTTTCATAAAAATTGGAATTTTCTCTATGGGAAGAAAGTGAGGGATCTGTTGAAGGTGGTGAGATGGGAGAAATTGGGTTTGAAATTATGGTCTAATAATAACAGCATGCACTTCATTACCATCTTCATTAACCACCACCACCTCCCATTACTTACAAAATCACCACCACCCACACTACAAAAACATCTCAAAATGTAGATCTACGCATCACCACCGCGCGAAAATGCCGAGGCAGGACAAGGGGAAGGCCGTTGTGGAGGATGTCGGCACGCCCAATTTTATCAAAGCCTGTGGGTGGAAACGCCTAGAAATTTCGAATCTTCGACGGAGGTTCTTAATTTCTAGGCGTTTCATGTGGAATCACCCAAAAATTTCGAACCACTGTCCAAGATTCGAAATTTCTTAGCGTTTCCCACTCTGTTGTGTGAAAATATTGAGCATTTTCCCCAAAATGTTTTTTTTTTTACTCCCAGAATTATTTTGTAATTCGCATTTTTATTACAGTGTTATTGTTGTTGTTAGTAATAGTATTATTATTAATTATATTATTGTTTTTGTTAGACCCTGTTCATTTAACCTTAAAAAAATAATATTAAGTAAAAATAATTTAAGTTTAGTAAAAATAATTTCAGTTCAGTAAAATTAAGTTCACTTCAGTAAAAATAATTTCAGTTCAGTAAAATTAAGTTCACTTCAGTAAAAATAATTTCAGTTCAGTAAAAATAAGTTCAGTTTAGTAAAAATAATTTCAATTAAGTAAAAATAAGTTCAGTTCAGTAAAAATCAGTAACTATAAAAAAGAAATATAATAGAAAATCGGTAAAAATAATTTCAATTCAGTAAAAATAATTTCAGTTAATAAAAAAAAGTTCAATTCAGTAAAATTCAGTAACTATAAAAAAGAAATATAATAGAAAATCGGTAAAAATAATTTCAATTCAGTAAAAATAATTTCAGTTCAGTAAAATTAATTTCGGTTCAGCAAAATAATTTTAGTTCAGTAAAATTAATTTCAGTTCAGTAAAAATAATTTCAGTTCAGCAAAAATAAGGTGAAGTGAACGGGGCGTTAGTATTGTCATTATTATTGATTGTTAGTATTATTAATATTATTTTTGTAAAATTGGAATTATTTGGTTGATTTTGAAAGTTATGGTGGTGACCAGTGGTCGTTGGTGGCTGGTGACCACTAGAGAGGATAATCAAAATATTTGAGGTAAAATTGATTAGTTTTATAACAAGGGTAGGACATATTTTTAGGTTATAAATGCGAGCGTTATTTGGAGATTCGGGGGCGTCGTTAAGCTTTCCACATTTTAATGTAAATACGAAATACTATTTTCATCAAAAAAAAAAAAATGGGTTTATTGTGGATTTGCTGGTGTTTTGTTACGTACATTTATTTAGGGTAACCTATTGCACAAGGTCACTTGTCACGTGCTATTTTCTTATTGGTTTTTTTAATTTAAAAAAAAAAAAAAAAAAAACTTAGCTTCCCCTTCCATCTTGAGTCGGACCCTCTATCTCCGGTCGAACCAGCAACCCTATATTTGTTTTTGAGATTTATAGAGGTATCGAATATAAATGGTGTTTTTCTGCTTATTTGATGTATTTAGGACTAATTTGAGTATCTGGTCAACTTAATTTTCGTAGTATATCTTGAAATTTGGAACTTTGTTTTGTTTCGTAAATTTGTTGTGGGTATATTTGAATTCATCTTCATTTAAAAAATTTATGAGTATATACATCTGCCTACCATTTATTCAATACTCCAGTTTATTTTCTAAGATGGTTGTAGTATTGAATAAATAGTACGCAGTTGAATACACTGCAGATTCTACCACCTATCAGCAATCGAATAGTTTTCAATGTATAGTCCACCGAGATCAACAGTTATGCGCCGAGAGATATCAAGCATAAATTGTATCGGATACAATATATACTATTCCTGGTACAGTGGTAAGAAATCCTCCTATTTTCACCATCCACACTACAAGAGGGATAAATATCTATATGGGGTTCGAATTAATAAGGGATTGAGAAAAACTACAGCCGCTAAATCTTCTGTTAAAGATGCACTCATTTTTCGGGATCATATACAAACCTTTCTGACAGTTTATGAGCTATTTGATATTTATATTCATAAACCCTACATGATAATATATATATACTTATTTTAAGAAGAAGAAGAGAAAAAAAAAAAAAAAAAAAAACTCGTCAGCCGTTGTATACTAAGTTATAAAATTGCTTTCATTCACTTTTGCGTGAGATTCTAAACCTGATGAGTCTTCATTATGATGTACGATCATCTAAACCCCTTATATTTCACCTTTCAATGTGAATTTTGCAAACTTATCAAGTCGTTTACGCAAGGAGTTTTGCCGTGGGTTTCTTGTGTATAAGGTGTCGTAGTTCGATCGAGTAATTTGCTCCGAAAGGTAATCACACGAAACTTTTTATCGGAGATGTTTGTTTTATACTTTGTATTATTACGTGTATTTGGATGATCAAGTTTTGCATATATATGTTTAATGTGTGGTATTGCATGATTTGATTGGATTTGAGTATCGCATTATTTTTGTTGTTTATAATTGATTGTACAACAACACGGGTTTTTTAATGTTGTTGCTCTAGTGAGTATTGTTATCGAGGTTTTAGGGTTACTAGTATTATTTTTAATTGGTTGAGAATTAATTACATTTGGGTACCAGTATTATTATTTTCCTAAGAGTTGAGATATTTACTGTGTCATATATAATTGAGATATTATTTGGGAACCTGTGTCATAATTGAGATATTATTTATTAATCTGGTGAATGGTTATTTGATCGATGTATAAGATCAAAAGGTTGAGTATTATTATTCTGTTCTTGGTTTGAGGCTCGATGTTATAAACCTTTGTCCTTGGCATGTTGGTAAGGAGATGATAATCTTGAGTTGAGAATGAGGCACAATTTTTATTTTATATTTTTCTATGGTCCCCTGTAGTGGGGTTTAACCCGAATGTTGATCATGGTTATTCAAGGTGATTTCTGGTTATTGAGAATATTAAGTTTTCATACTTGTTGATTTATTTATTCGAATTACCCATGTCCAACGCTGGGTATAGAACAAATAATATGGCACACTTATTGGTTAGATGAGTTAATTAAGTAAAGAGATTGTATTATTATTCGAGATTGGGTTTGACAAAGGTTATTTAAAAGGTATGGGGTTTGAGGTATATATATGTATAATGTAGTTTTGAACTACATTGTTTAAGTGAACTAATTATATTAATTACTATATTGTTCTTTCTATTTTGATCAGTGGTGATTACTTAGCTTTTTGCTGATGCGTGTGTGTTGTTTTGTTCTGCTACTTGTGTTTGCAACTTTTTTTTTTTCTTCTTATGTGGCCCTGTGACAATCTATTTTGGAATTTGTCCTTAATGGTGAGCACGCAGTCAAGTTTGTCTAAGCCAGTTAATCAAGTGATCATAGTTAAAGGAGCTCAAGTGTTTTGTTTAATCTGTTATAAGGAGTTTGTAAAAAGTTGTATAAATAACTCACTGAGTTTATTGAGTTGTAATTATTGGGATTTTGTAAGCCTTAACACTAGACAAGTTGTTGAGTGTAACGATAATACCTCCGATGTAGGTGTATGCTTCCACAATTTTACTTAAAGGCTGTTTATATTTCCTTAAATTATTATTTACTAATTTAGTCCTGTGCGTTGCACTGATTAAATAACTATTATTTGTTTAAAATGGTTGTCAATATTCTTTATTTGAAAAAAGTGTAATCATAATCACATAAATTAATTTTGAAAGAACTACTATATTTATTTAGTCTTGAAATTTAGGGGGGGAAATAGAGAAAAATAAGGATGATGTCAAAAATAATTTAGGCAGGAAAAAATTTCATAAGAAGTTGATATGTGTCCTTTAATGATGTTAGCATGTTTTGTTTTAGTAATAGTTAATAGATTATAATTTTTTTTTTCGAGGGGAGTTATTTATTTTAATTAGTTAATTGAAGGTGTTACAAACACTTTGAGCCAACTCGTTATTTATTTATTTATTTATTTATTTTTTTGGTGGCAACTCATTATATTGTTATCGAAACATATTTCATTACTCAAATTCGCAAGGAATTTTATGAATACATAGTGTTTAGATCCAAAATTTAGGTCGTTCCATTTAATGGTCCACAATCCCATTAGCCCATAAAGGCCTCAAACGGTCAAACCTAAAAGTCCTTAAAGAACCTTATCCGTGCTTAAGTTTAGTCAGCTGCCAAGCCACGTGGTGATCCTAGTGAGCCCATGGTTGGGGCCCACGTCCTCTAAATACCCGTAGTTCTTCACCTTTCAAGGTATCTAGTATCTACATTCATTCTAACATTTGTTGTACTTCCAAGCATTGATTTATCTCCTTAAGTCCTCAATCTCATGTACCAACTTAAGCATCGGAGGGGTTATCTCAGACACATCCTTGATGCCAGTTAATGTGCTCTTGTGTGCAGGTATTCTCGGCCCATTCACTAAAAGGTCCAAGTTTGGTTTTCAATCCACAAATAAAGGTTAAAATCTTGACTACATTATTTCACCCGTAAAAATTTGACGTCGTCTGTGAGGAAGACATTCTTTCAAAGCCAAATTAAGTTAAGATTGATTAAGGTGAAGAGAATGCACCTTAGTTAAGTTATTGTGTGCATAAAGTAAGAGAAAATAATTTAATTTAAAAACAAGGCGTAGATAGATGTTAATTGTGGATAGTGGGTAAGGAAGAGTGGTAAAAAATGTGTATTAGTACATGTTTTGGGCGTAGGAGAGATAAAGAGGGTGATATTAGACTACTAAAAATGTATGAAGGATAAGCTAAAGTTGAGTCAAAATTACTAATATATCTAACAAAGAAAAAAGAGTTGAACATTTGGAAACGAAAAGTGTTAGTGATTTTTTTACCTAAAATTTAATTTACCTTGTGTAGCTAATCAAAGTCCTTAAGCTCTATTAGCCGATTAAATTTGGATATTGCGAATTATGTACTTTACTTATAGAGTTGCATCCCTTTTTATAAATCATCATGTGTATAGAAATATTGAATCGAAGTTATTGCTAGATGAGTTTGATTATAATGGATATACTATTGACACATGATAGTTTATTATAGAGGTGAAATATCAAAATCCCTAAATTATTACGTCATATTTTCATACACAGTATAATGTCTAAAGAATTTAGAACTTTATGATTTTATCTACTTTTACAGTTATACATAGTACTCGTACCTTTTTATTAACAGTACATCTTGCAAGTTATAAGTATCTGTTTCAATAGTGCGTAGTACTTCAATTCGTATAATGAAATTCACTATAATTTCACATAATGAAATTAGTGAATTATGACATTTTGTCATTATTATCGGATGTTTACATCATATTAATTAATGAATAATGACCATAAGTTGCTTGAATAAGACTATAAGAGACCTCGACAGCCTTGTAAACCGAAAAAAGCTCCATCATTCATCTAATTCGAGAGGCTTGAAATATTTCCTGTCGATAAGATATGTTCCAATGCTCAAACGTACAGCCCATACATCCATAGGTTTCCTAGAAATAATCCTGTCATTTAACATAAATTTTTTTTGCATGATTATTTCATATTGGAACTATAACAAGAAACTACAAAAAAAATTACATTAACTAATAATACACGTAACTTTCAGTCAAGTGTAATGTCAAAGTGGCAAATTGGCAATAGATCATCCGATTTACTTATAAGTAGCAAAAATATAGGTCGTAATTTTCACAACAAAATCCAGATTAATAAAAATTAAAATATAAAATTGAATATAAAATAGGAAAAATTGTTAAAAATAAGTCAACTTTTTTGCGGTTAACTCAAAATAAGCTAACCTTTTAATTAACTCAAAATAAGCCAACCTTTTAATTAACTCAAAATAAGTTGACTTTTAAAAGATATTTTCTTTAAATAGGTCAAATGACTTACAACCTACTAAACAAGTCATTTTCCTTTTTTCTTTTTTTTTTTGATTAAATAAATTAGAAAATTTCTTTAAAGAAAAATAACCCCATTGGCCATTACAAACCAGCCGGCCAGCCCCCTACTCCGCCACCGCACGCGCCTCCCCCATAATCCTTTCCACCGTCTTCCCATAAGCCCCTTTGTTCTCTGCCTCCTCCAATAACACCTCCCTTCGCTGGCCGAAATTAAACCCAGAAAACCACCATACCCACCTTGAATCCCCACCCTAACCTCCAAAATAACACCATATGGGGCCGAAAACCACCGCCTAATCGCTGAAACCCACCTCCTAACCACCGAAAACCCACTCCACACCCCGAATCGATCCAACCTGAAAACATAAAAAAAAAAAAACAAAAAAAACAAAAAAAACAAAAAAACAGAGGATCGAGAAGCAAAGGCGGCGATGGAAGGGGACAAAGAGAAAGGGGTCGGCGACTGTGGGTGAAGGTTTATCGGCGGTGTCGCCGAGGGAGGGACGTGTGATGTGGCCGGCGAGCGTGGGGGTGGGGGGACTGTTCTATGGTGGGGGAAGGGAATGTTGAAAAAACTCATATTAATAAAAAAAATAATAAAGAATTAATTTTAATCATAAAATTTTAAAACGTTTAAACCAATAACATTAGAACATGTGGCATAATTAACTTAATCAACCGTTTTCCCCTAAAATCAACCCGTCATGACTTAGTTTGAGAAAATATATAAAGATTGCTTATTTTTGGTCAATCAAAAGGTTGACTTATTTTTGAACTAATTGGATAAAAGTTGGCTTATTTAAAACAAATTTCCTGTAAAATATAGAAATCATATTTCACAAAATTCCAACATCGCCCGTAAAAAAAGACTTTATTTTTAAAGAGGGAGTAGGAGTTTTTACCTTCCAACATCGCCGGTGTTAACTAAACCACTATTGACTCTAAGGCAAGGAACAGAAGCAGCAGTTTTAATCATTTGAGGAGCTTCAGTAATGATAACTGGAGAGCCTATGCTCAATTTAGACGCATCTTTCTTTGTAGTCTCTTCAGGGAATGATTGTTCATTCAGCTCACACTTGGACGCAAAGCCATCGGTTCGGGTTCGGGTTTGAGTTCGAGTTTGAATTCCGATGATAGGTTGTAGATAAACCACCGTTGAAGATATTTGAGGACTTGGGAATGGCTTACAAATGTTGGAAGATAAAGAGAGTGACATTGGTGAGCACTAAATTTCTTAGAAGAATAATAGTTTACGGAGAGAAGGAAAGAAATAACAAAAACTTTTGTGTGGCTCTTGTGAAATTTTTGATGATGTTGGGACCTTTTGTCTTATTAGAAAAAGTGGCCCAAAAAATTAAAAAAAATAAATAAATTCCATTTTGTAGCTTAATCAATGCAGATGGTATAATATATACATAAAAACAGACTATCCTCATAGAACTTGTGTTAATTATACATTGTAAATTATTTACAAAGAAAAACAAGTTTAAAATTAGGCTGATAGCCTAAGCAACAAAAGAAACCATCAACTACAACTCCTACAAGCTTTTAACAGCAGCAATGACTTTGGACAATAGCAGCAGCAACATATACATGGACAGCAGTTGCACCGGCATAATCTGGACAGTAGCAACATTGTCTGGACAACAACATCAACGAACAACTCAAGCAAGAAGCACATCTGTCCTATATAACCAAATCTATTAAAATAGAGAATCAGAAGTCAGAAGATAACATAACAAAAGTATTGAAAGTTCATAAAAAAAAAATGAAACATTTAAGTCCAAAAGAATCATAGATAAACACAAAGTTGAAAAAGAACGAGACTGTGATGGCGACACAAGACTTGAATCATGAATCATTTCATAATACCAGATTAAACCTAATACATAAACAATTCTGTTTTCAGAATAAAAAATCCCAAAAAGTCAGATCACCATTACAATCATGAATCATTCTGTAACACACTATGTTGTAATATAAGAAGTATTTCAAGGCTACAATAAGATCGAAAAGTTGATCTTATGACAATGGAAAGAGTACGGTGTGTCGTGAAGCAAATTAACTGACTTGAAAACGAAATTCCGGCGCAATCGGGGTGCACAATTGTATTCACCGGCACGTTCTCTAAGGTTAACACACCACTTTCACACAAATACACTTTTGGGTGGAAGGTTGGAGCCAAGTAGCTTATACACAATATAGAGTATGTGTTTAAGCTTGTGTTTGAAGGTTATGTTCAAGTGTATGTAATTCAGAAAATGAACAAGCTATTTATAACTAAGAATGTAAGATGAAAAGAATGAATCTAGACATCAAAAGGGTGATTAAATAAGAATAACGAATATGATTTATTCACCATAAACATCTTCGTTAATGGGGGTTACAAAGGATTATCAAGAGATCAAGGAAGAATCCAAGGGAAGAAGCCCGTTGGAATCCAACAGTATACCACGTGCCCGATTGGGTGGACAAGGCCCGACCGGGTGAGCATCCAAAGAAGAAAGTGACGGATTTTGAAGCTCCTCGCACCCGACCGGGCATGACTCACCCAATCGAGCAAGCGATGGTCTGTTTCCAGACTTTCACTCGCGCCTGACCGGGCGGCTAGGATTCCAGCACATCCGTTATTATTTCTCGCGCCCGATCGAGCACAACTAGCCCGATCGGGCGGATGCTCAATGCAATAACAATTTTTTCCTCCCTTTATTCTAACAATCCCCCACTAAAGGGAGGGAAGAAGACAACAATGAAATGAGAAGCAACATATTGGGCATAAGATGAGATTAGTGCATAACACTAAAATATTACATATGTAATTTGAAATCTAGTTCTTAGTGAAATGAGGCAATGAACTACAAGTCTAAGGGTGGACATAACACTAAGATATTACATATGTATTTGGATTAAGTTCAGTGTTTTGAATTTGATTTTTTGATTTTTTTTTTGTTTTTGAAGAAATCGATAGAGCAATTTTTTTTTTGAAGAGTAATCTAATCCCACCAAAGTCAAGACGCTTTGGGGGAAAGAGTCAAGTCGTACATACTCCAAAAATTCACCGGTATCCCACCTAGCTACGAGATGAGCAATGATATTACAAGAGTGCTTAACATGAGTAATAATACAACTATCAAACCAAGCTCTATCAACTCTAATCTCATCATAAATAACAAATAGAGGAGAAAAACCCCCAATACTTGAATTCAAACTCTCGGACCGTGACAGTTGGTATCAAGATTTTCAACTACAATGGAGGATTTAAATTAAATTTAAAAATTGAATTATTTAACCGACAATACAATAAATTAATCCAAAAGAATCTATCAATTTAAAATGCACAAATTTTTATATATGCATGAACTATATGTGCAGTATATAATAATTCCTTTTATTCCTAAAAGTTTGACTCACTTTACATTTGTGCGGTATTCAATGTGCATCTATGCCCGAGGGCGAAACCAAGAATTCAAGATTAGGGGGTCGATAACCTGATACTTCGTAGCAAAATATTGTATATTTGTATTCACTTTTATTTATTTACAAAACATTATTTTGACACGTACTTAAAGAAGATATTAGACTAAGTAACCAGACAAATTAATGAAATATTTTACCGCCGACAAGAAGAAAATGTTAAGCTTTACATTATAAAATTTATAGTTTAATTAACCATTTAAAATATATAATTAAAAAATAAATGAAGTTTACAAAAAAATTATAGCAAAGAAATGAATGGCGAAAATCTTGAACAGAATTAGAAAAGAGTGGAAAAAATAACATGCTTGAACAAACTTTTGAGTTCCAAAAAGAGCTATTATTACCAATTTACCATGGCATCATGACCAACTAAGCTAAGGAGAAATACATGTATTGTTGCTGAATAAGAGTATTATATATGAAAACAATAGATGCCAACTTAAACAACATAGCAACCCAAGCTAGATGGAAACAGAGAGAATGTAGTTGGATGTAGGCATGTAGCTACACACTGATCATTTCTTTCCAGTTAAAGCAGAGGCTTATGCATCTTTCAAGCAGTTCACGACTTAGGTAATGTGGGTTGATCCAGCTTAGGTAGTTGCAGCACTCAACAAACATGAGATAGCACAAAAGGGAATCGAATCGATTATGGAGGAAATTAAGTAACGTGCGTTATCCTTTAATTGCTGTATAGTGAACTTGATTTTAATGGCCTATATATAATCAGGCAACTTGTAACAAGAGATTCAAAAAATGTGATATTTACCATACCTGCTACAGATAAACATATAGCCACCAGCATCATAAGAAATAAATAGCCTTCCACTGTTCCACATTTACATATATCAATATAAGTTTCAGACTCATACCCTAGGTAACTATTACTAAACTTCTTTTGAAGAACCAAAAAATACGAGAAATAGTGAAGGCTTGTGCATACTCAACTTTTATGCACAATCTATACAAAAAAGCCTTCAGCAGTTTAGATGTCTGAAATATAGCATTCGACCGAAAAACTCACTTTTGGCCCCATGCTCCACAATTTTCTTGGTTATAACAATTACTTCTTTGCATATGTTAAATATGGATCCAGAGCGATACTCAATACATCGGGCCTCTCAGCTTGATTGTAGGTTAAACAACGACGTATCAGTTCCTATAGAACAAGAGAAAGAAAGAGCGGTTATGCTCATTGTTCAAAACAGAAATATTTTCACAGATCAGTAAATAACACCCCTAATAACTAAAGAAAGTCTAGGATGAAATCATCTCACGCTAACTTTAATCAAAGCCACTAAAAGTTACCCTTTTCTATAAGTAAGAAACAACTCCAAAAATAGAAAAAGTCACTCCAGTCTCACAATATGTAGTTAAGACTGTTATATAACCACTTTGCCTAATGACCCACCCACAGAAGGGAGGGGAAATTAACAGCCCACATGCCAAACCAACGTAAACATTTTACTGGTAACTTGGATGAGGAAAAATGTCAGAAATAGGCTTGACTGCTTGAGGATAAGACAGAAAGAAAAAGATCTATGCAGACATGGAATGGCAGGTAACTACACACACAACATTTCAAATCCAATGAGAACAAGATGAGGCCTTACTTTTGCCTCGCTCGAGACACTAGGTCTAGTAGGGAAGTCCACCTTTCTTGCTTTAATAATGGTATCCTCCCGTAAAATTCGTTCCTGACTTTGATCATGGCCAAAAGGACGTCTTCCAAAGAGCATTTGGTAAAACAGAACACCAGCTGACCAAACATCTACCTGTTTCCAATGCATTGGAGTCAGAGAATGGCCAGATGAACATCTTCCCAAAAAAAGGACAATTGAGTTATTAGTGCAAACGACCATAGTAACACCCATAATTTGCACAATGAGCAGCAGTTAAGAAGCCAGCCGCAAAAGTCCAATAGTCCATGATACCATATGGATTTGACTAAAGACATTATACAGCTTAAATCTACAATTGAACATATCAAAGACAGGCATACCTTTGAGGATATGAGTGGTATCTTGTTAAGCTCAAAGCACTCAGGCGGCAGATACCTGAGCAAATAAAAAAAAATAAGCATAAACATCCTGCTCCTCATTAAAGTTACCTTAATTAATTAAAAAAAAAAAAAATACAACTCTGCATTTAGAGATCAGCACCGGTTCCCTAGTTGCATGTATATATGCTACTCATGGGTATCACTGCTTTCAGACCATGAGACCATTGGACTGACCAGATTCTAGCAACAATGTACACACTCACAGACCAGGGTATGGGAAATATCATGCACAAGATAAATATCAAGATCATCTGAATAGCCTCAATAAGTTCAAGTTAAGTAAACATATAACATCAATAGCTTGATTTTTGTAAATTATAAAGATCAAGAATTCACGACTATACAAAAGTCAATTTCAAAATCATTAATGTTAAAAATTATTACAATTACAGATAATTTTTGTATTTACCATAATGCAATTGCAAATTATAGAAGCTAAATCAGTATAAAGTACTGCTAACCTATGTATCAAACTCACATACAATCAATTCGAAGCTTGAACATAGCAAAAAGGAGATTGTCATAACTCCATAAACACGAGAAGAGAAAAGCACTTAGAACACACATTTCATTACGTCAGTTGTATTATTGTTCAATCTTATTATAGAGAACCCACACAATCCATGATATTTTAGACAAAATGTATTATATCCAACATGGCTCACCAATAGGTACCCGCTCCTTGGGAAGTAAGCTCCATGCCCTGCGATCCAACATCATTTTCAACTATTTTACTCAGACCAAAGTCTGTCAATTTGGCAACTCC